GTTTAAACCAAAACACATCAAACCCGACGAGAAATGCGACACAACATTGAACAGGGGGCGGGGGGATTGTCGTTTGTTGAAATTCAAAGGTTTTGTGGCATCTGTCCCAAGACTTTTGAAACTGATTGTAGATAGTTTCGGCCAAGACAATTTTCTCGCATCCATCGAATTTATCTGCTTGAAATATTCTCCACAGAACACCAGTAAGCATTCCTTATCGTCACTTTCAAATAACGATCTAACCTTTTCGAAATCTACGTCGTTCATTTCGATAATAGTAAATAAAATTATACAAACGAAATAATTTCCTTGTAAAATGTACAGAACTGCAACAAAGCTACCAAGTGCACAATGCTTCCAAATTGAAGATTAGAAGGCCAATCAGAGGAGATGTTCTTTAACTCTTTTGCGCAAATTGTCCAATCAGAAGCTGCTATCTATTTGCAGAATTAGTCAAAATAGTCAAAATTTCGCAATCGTTAGTCAAAATAGGTCTGACCAATCAACATGCCTGTAATGTGTAATCTGAGCAAATTTGACCAATCAAATCATATGAACTAAAACGCAGAATAGTCAATTTTCATTTGAATACCGCTTATTTGACTTATCGTTTGACTAATCAATCGCTGGCTCAATGTGCAAAAACTGATCGAAGTTTATATGCTGGAGTATGATAGAGTTGTGATTGCGTGATCAGAAATGAAGAGAAGTGTTTGCGCTGGGAAAAAATTCAAAAACCTTAGTCCAAATTTTTTTCTATGCCTCTTTTTTACGTTAGTCGTGTGACTAATCTGACTACCCCTAGATCCGCCCCTGATATTACATGCTATAGTCAAGCGTAAGCGGGTTTTTTATACATTTGTCTTTTAAATTCGAGGATAAATTGTTCTTTCCCAAACTTAAAAGTCATTCACTACACAAATTTATTTTTGTGATGGTTTGTTGTTTCTTTTAGTTTGTGTATCTGGCTCATTCTAGTTCAATATTCTTCTTTACTCTTTAGGTATTAAAGGTGATGTAAAGTCCGTAATGTAAACAAACGTTTTGTTTACATTTTAAACTTCCCTGCTACAGTTGTAAAATATGATTAGATATATATTATACTGAATTTTTAACACTTTTCTGGTTCGTTATACTTGTAAATGAATACAGACTAGAGATTCAATATTTCAATTCAAGAAAGTTCGGAAGGTGCGAAATATTAACAACATTCCAAAGGTTGCTCCCCCACTGATGGAATGTTTTTTAATTTTGCTTATTACGTTTGCCTATATTTAGCAGTTCCCACAACTCTCGTGACATAAAACTGACATTTGAGTCTTAGATTATCTGATTATATTTTGGTAAGTCACATAATTTTGAAAACGGGTGTAATGTGTAGTTTTATACGTTTTTTTCACGGTCTGCATTTTATACCAAGTCTGCAATTTCAGTCTGCAATTTATACCTATTCTGCATTTTGTACTTGGTCTGCAGTCTGCGGTCTGCAGTCTGCAGATTATACTGACCGAAAATTAAACTAAGTTGAAGACTGTTAGTTCACTAAGCCAAGCAGGTATAGTATCTATCAGGATACTAAAATCATATAAAATTTCGTGCCAGTGTAGGTATAGCGATCTGTAGTATATGTTATGAACGATAGGCTTGATTTGTAGGAGATATACAGGGTGTATAAAAAAAAACGCAACCTCGGAATTTCCTAAGAAATCACTTTGCATTTCTTAAGCATAAAAGATTTTAGGCCCCTGGGAATTGAAATCGAATTGCTAATAGATCATATTACTGTTGTTGTGCATTAAATAAATGCATAAATTTTGCTTTATGCACTCGCGTGTGCAGTAATTTTGACAGTTGTGCTATTTTAAATTCCCAGGCGCCTAAAATCTTTTGTGTTCAAAACAATGTCGATTTCTTGGGAAATTCCGAGGTTGCGTTTTTTTTTATACACCCTGTATATAACTGCCTGAAACATGCAACAAAATAGTGGTTTCCCATGCATGAAAGACTACTGAGTATTGTATATGTTTCTACTAAATAAATATATGTGATGCAAATAATTAACGTGTTTTCTAGTATTTAGTATACTAGTGTTATTACCTCCGCCAGGAGGTTATGTAATCATCTGGGTTTGTTACCTCCGCCAGGAGGTTATGTAATCATCTGGCTTTGTGTGTGTGTGTGTGTGTGCGTGTGTGTGTGTGTGTGTGTGTGTGTGTGTGTGTGTGTGTGTGTGTATGTGTGTGTGTGTGTGTGTGTGTGTGTTTGTGTGTGAGCACGATAACTCAAGAAATACCAAACATATCCGTACGAATTTTTTTGAATGCATTTCCCATCGGCTAAGGAAGAACTGATTAAAATTTGGTTGAATTTCGTTAAAAATTGAACGAGAAATGAACAAAATTTTGTCTGGCTTTTCCCGGTCAATTAACAAAATATATTACTGAATGCGTAATTAGGACGTGTATAATTTATGCACTCAGTGCTAAGACAGTAATGAGATGATAAACCTCATTAAGCTTCGGCCTCATTATCTATTGTCTTAGTTGCATTTCACGCGACCGAAATTCAATGTCTAAAACAAGGCTTACGGAGTTATGCATTATTACGTTCAGCAA